AAAAGAAAAAAATAAGCCCAATTATTTGGTAGGATCCATACCTGACAAATAAAAATGACTTTTTAGACAAAATGGAAATTAATTTTATTTTCTGTGTGTAATTTTTTTAAATCTCCAATTAAAGCAAAATAAATACAACTGAAAAGCTAGAAAGTAGCATAGGGACTAAAGACATTTCTTTGAGTCTCTGCTACTTATTTGAGTATAATTTAACAGTTAAAGTGCAGATATGGCAGTCTATGTGAGTATTAAAAAGAAAATAATAAATTTAGAAGTACAAATTTGGAGACTTTCTTGTTACAAAAATCTCCTTTGTTTTTGTTCTTCAAATTGATTTATATAACATTCAACTATCCTCTGGATAACTACAAAGCACTACAATGATCCCATTTTAAAGTCTTCTCTTAGTAGATATTTTTAATTTTTGAGTGTTCATATATACGTAAAACAAAAAAAAGATCATGAAATTATATTTAAACTTTTGTATAAATGAAGTGAATGCTTTTCAAATTTTTCTGATGTAATACATGATGAGAAATTCAATTTCTACACACCCAATAAACACATAATATATGTAAACACTTACATACACATACCTGAAAACAAAGTTTCATCAAGCAATATTTAACCTTCATACTAGTGAGCACTCAGTTTCTATATTGTACTAATTTGCTTTTCTATTTTAACCTATTGATTATTTAATTGACTTTACAATGGACTGACCAACTACTGTCAACTCAAAACCACTGCCATCCAGTAGAGTCTGACTCAAAGCAACCCCCACTGGGTTTCCAAAACAGTAAATCTTCATGGAAGTAGATTGTCCCATCTTCCTTTATGGAGTGGCTGGTGGATTTGAACCACCAACCTTCTGGTTAGCAGTCATATGCATTATGCAATACACCACCAGAGGTATTCCTAATATATCAGAGTCATGGTTCCATGTTTGCAAAATCAGAAGGAAACTTCTGCACTTGCTGTTCATTCTCCAGCTAATTAGTTTTCTCCCTCTTTAGTCTCTATGAAGGCATAATAATTGTATTAAAAATTATATTAAACAAATAGCATGTGTAAACAAGTCATATACCTCAGTCCTCTTTACAATTTAACGTGATAGAAATATCTCCATAGCATGGCTAAAAGAATAAACACATAAATTCACTTGAATCTGTGTAACCTACTAGAATCCACAAATTGCACCCAAGTAAAGAAAAATATTCTTTGTTCATGCTTATTGAGTCAGTAGCTAATTTTTATCCTAATTTTACAGATCACTAAAAGAAAGCTGTAGAAATACCTGACATAATATGACACCTCAACAAAATGGCACAACCTCCATTGAGGTTTCAGACTTTCTCCTGAATTGTTTTGTCAGGTCCCCCACCTGGCAGCTCTGGCTATCCCTGCCCCTCAGCCTCCTCTTCCTCCTGGCCATGGGGGCCAATGCCACCCTCCTCATCACCATCCACCTGGAGGCCTCCCTGCACGAGCCCATGTACTACCTGCTTAGCTTCCTCTCACTGCTGGATATTGTGCTCTGTCTCACTGTCATCCCCAAGGTCCTGGCCATCTTCTGGTTTGACCTCAGGTCCATCAGCTCCTTTGTCTGCTTCCTACAGATGTATATCATGAATTGCTTCCTGGCCATGGAATCCTGCACATTCATGGTCATGGCTTATGACCGCTATGTGGCCATCTGCCACCCACTGAGATATCCATCTATCATTACTGACCAATTTGTAACCAAGGCTGCCATTTTTATTTTGGCCAGGAATGTCTTTACAACTTTGCCCATTCCCATTCTCTCAGCACTACTCTATTATTGTGTGAGAAATGTCATTGAAAACTGCATCTGTGCCAACATGTCTGTCTCAAAGCTCTCCTGTGATGATGTTACCCTCAATCGCCTCTACCAATTTGCTGGAGGTTGGACCCTGCTAGGATCTGACCTCATCCTCATTTTCCTCACCTACACCTTCATACTGTGAGCTGTGCTGAGACTCAAGGCAGAAGGAGCTGTGGCTAAGGCCTTAAGCACATGTGGCTCCCACTTCATCCTTATCCTCTTCTTCAGCACCATCCTTCTGGTCTTCATCCTCACTCACGTGGCTAAGAAGAAGGTCTCCCCTGATGTACCAGTCTTGCTCAATATCCTCCACCATGTCATCCCTGCAGTTCTCAACCCCATTGTTTACAGAGTACGAACCCAGGAGATCAAGCAAGAAATCCAAAGATTACTAAAGAAAGGGTGGTAATAAGATCAACTGGATCTCTGCATTCCTACAGGATGGTGATTTATGAGTAATAATGGGTGACTGGGCTGAAATTCATATATGAATTATAATCTCAAATTGGGTAAACCACATACTATGACTTCTTTTCTGAACCTTGAGGGTATTTTTTTAGGATTTCCCTTTTTTCTCATTCCTCTGTTGCTGTTATGTGCCATCAAGTCCGACCCAACTCAAAGCGACCCCTCCTTGAGTTTCCAAGACAATATCACTACGGAAGTAGATTGCCCAACTTTCCTTCTGAGGAGCGGCTGGTGGGTTTGAACCACCAGCCTTCTGGTTAGCAGTCAAGTGCCTTAGGCACCACGCTACCAGAGCTCCCCATTCCTCTGTTAGAAACCTCTTAACCCTTTCTCTTTTATTTCCATATTTGTATTCTTATTTGTCTGAAATTCAAAGGCTTTTGTGGCCAGCTCTAGAGTGAGAATATCATGTTTCTGTAAATATAACTGATAATATTTCATGAAAATATATTACTGAAAATAAACTGTGTGTACTTTATGGATGGGTAATGCTATTCTTATTTTTACAAAAAAGAATATATTGGAGAAAAAGCTGTAGGAATTGATATATCAGTCCTAAATGATGAGAATTTTCCATTGGTCAGTAATTAGGTCTTTGTCTATCAGTTTTCAATGGCATCATTGTTCTGTGTGTGTGTGTGTGTGTGTGTGTCTGTGTATAGATTGATAGATGATAGCCAGACAGAGAAAAAATACAGATCAGAAAACAATAAGCAGTGAGTTTTATCAGGTTTGAAAGACTCCTAAATCTTCCTTCCCAATGGTCACTATACTTTGGACATTTATATTTTGGATCCATAGATCACAAGTTATGATATGTGAACACAGCTCTGCTAATGAGACAAAGGATTAAAAGAAATGTAATATATGATTCAATAATGATACTGAAATACAAAATAACCCAGTTGAACATTATGGTATTACTAATTAGACATTTTTCAGCACACACTACCTTGTGAATTCTGTGAGCCACTAAAGACACAAAAATAAATAGGACATTGTTGCTGCTTTGAGCTCAAAGTGTAATTAGAAAGAAGACAAATAAAACTCAGTCCAGAAGAAGAGTGAAGAAAATCAAAGGCATCTGGAAACAGTTAGTCTAAGGGTAAGATGGACCATGAGGACCTCAGCCTTCATGATCCCAAGACAAAAAGAACTAGATGGTGCCTGGCTACCAATGCTGACCACTCAAAAAGGGATCAAAACTGGAGATCCTGGATAGTGTGGGAGGAAAAATGTGGAACAAAATTCAAAAACACAAAAATGACCAGAATTACTGGTCGGATAAAGTCTGATGGAGCCCCCGAAACTATGACCCTGGATTACCTTTTGGGCCTAGAATTGGACTCACTCTCCCGGATTAGCTTTCAACCCAACAAGAGAAAGACCTACATACAGAACACCTACCCCAGGGCCATGCACCGACCTGCTCTAGGGAGATGCATCTCTTAGAGCAATCAGCCATGAGACACCAGAGGGGCAGCATTCACATAGAAGGAATGCTGGACAGACAGGAATGCACAGTAAAGAAGGGCACAGGGAGGGGATAGTCACAGGGAGCGGGGGAGAGAGTTTTTTTATGGTCAGGGATGGTAATCAGGGTGTGGACTCAAACATGCATGAACTGTTGAATGTAAAATAAATTTGCTTTGTAAATTTGCACCCAAAGCACAATAAAATTTAAAAGAAAAAAGAAACCTCAGTCCAAAATTACATTCTTCTTACTCAGAAAGTCAGAGAGGGGTGAGAAGTGGAATAGAATCATATATGGGCAGTAAAATACTTAGCAACTTAAGCAAGTTTTGGATAGAAAGTCCCAGGGTGTGGGTTGTAGTCCTTGCTCAATCCCCCAGACATACACACAAATATAACAACAAATAGGGTGATTTCTTTGTGTCTTAGGATGCTCATTATCATTACAGAACAGAAAATGATTTGCTTCAGAAGAATCACTCTAACTAGAACAAAGAATAGCAAATCAATCCAAAGGAAATAAAATGAAATGAATAATAGAAAAAGAGTGTAAATCTACAAAACAGTTTGCAAAAACAGAGAAAAAAGATCAGTGATATGAAAAGCTGATACTTTGATAAAATTAGTACAATTAAAACTATTATTTTATGACTATTAAAAACAGACACAAATATCTAATATTAGTAATGAAAGAGGGACATCACTAAAGATAACATAGACTTTAATTGGGTAATAAAAGAGCTTTATGAACAACTTTGTGCCATTAAGTGTGAAAAACAAGCAAAATGGACAAATTTTTGAGCAACAAAAATTGAAACTATTAGTATAAGCAGAAAGAGAAAAGATGAACAGCCTTGCATCTACTGAACAAAGTAGTTTCATAACTTTTCCACAAAGAAAATTCTAGTCATATTTGGCTTCCTTTGGGTATTATAACAAATATTTAAGAAAGAAATTAGGCCAACTCACGTCGATGAACTCTACTATTTAGAAAAATCATGTTGGTCAAATTGGCTCCCAATTTACAGAAAACAAAGTTGGCAGCATAGTTTACAAATGTTGTTGTTGTTATGTGCCGTCGAGTAGGACCCAACACATAGCGCCCCTTCCTTGGGTTTCTGAGGCAGTTTCACTACAGAAAAAGATTGCCTTATCTTCCTTCTGAAGAGTGGCTGGTAGTATTGAACCACCAGCCTTCTGGTTAGCAGTCAAGTGCTTTAGCCACTATGGTACCAGAGCTCCCACTTTACAAATATCCAATGGATAATACCCAAAGTTTTTAACTTTGACTAGTATTTAAAAACTAATATAGCGTGGGCATTAAATAATCAGATTCAAATATTTAATATTATTTATGAAAGTACTGGAAAGAGCTCTGGTGGTATAGTGGTTAAGGTATTTGTCTGATAACCAAAAGGTCAGTTGTTCAAACCTACCAGCCACTCCACAGAAGAAAGATGAGACAATCTGCTTGGGTAAAGATTTACAGCCTTGGAAACCCAATGGGGGTCACTATGGGTCAAAATTGACTGGATGGCAGTGAGTTTTATGAGGGTACTCATGGTTCAGTGGTAGAATTTTCTCCTTCTATGTGGGAGACCTAGCTTCAATTTCCTGCTAAAGTACCTTGTGCCTAGCCACAACTGTCTGTCAGTGGAGGTTTGCATGTGCTATTGTGTTGAACAGGTGTCAGCAGAGTTTCCAGACTAAGATGAACTAATGAGAAAGGCCTAGTGGTCTACTTTGGAAAATCAGCCAACGAAAAATCTTTAAATGACAGTAGTCTCATATAAAACTGATCAGGAAGATGTTGCAAGAATGGGCAGCTTTTCATTCCATTGTGCATGAGATTGTCATGAGCCACAGCCAACTCAAAGGTAGCTCATAACAAATAGAGTGGACTGACACAAACTGATCAGAATTTGAAGTACTGAACTTCAACTTGTATTAAATAACTAGTATGGCATGGGCACTAACTGATCAGAATCAATTGCCACCTGAATAACTAAAGGCCACCTATGTTTAACCCTAACACTGACTTCCATGACCTTGGGAGCTCTGGTTGCATAGTGCCTAAGACATTTGATTGCTAAGCAGAAAGCTGGCAGTTCAAACCCACTAGCCACTCCTCAGAAGGAACACTGGGCAATCTACTTCCCTGGTGATACTACCAGACATACATGACCAAGTACAAATGTGTAATGGATTGGAAGATGATGTGAGCAATGCCTACAATTAAAATAGAAATACTCTAAAACTTAAATTTTAGAATATACAAGGAGGTTCTATGAGCCATCAAGATTAAAGAGCAGGAATAGAAAAGAGTATAAATAAATAATTAAAAGAAAGGAAAACCAACAAAAATGACAGCAACAAATTCATATTTGCTGCTGATAATTACATATCTGGCAAGGGACTTAACTCTAAGATTTATGGAAAACTCCAACGCCTCAACACCAAAGGAATTAACAATCCAATTGAAAAATGGGCAGAAGACATGGATAGACATTTCACCAAGGAGGATATTCAGGTGGTCAGCTAATACATGAAAAGATGCTCACAATCATTGGCCATCAGAGAGATGTAAATCAAAACAACAATGAGATACACCGTCTCACCCCAGCACTGTTGGCAAGGTTTACTGAGACAGAAAATAACAAATGCTGGTGGGGATGTGGAGTGATGGGATTCTCATACACTGTGTGAGTGACTGTGAAGTGACACAACCACTGTGGAAAGCAATATGGTGATTCCTTAGAAATTTGGAATTGGACATACCATTTGATTCAGCAATCCCATTACTAGGTATATATCCTAGAGAGGTGAGAGCCAGGATAGGAACAGATACATGCATGCTCATGT